ACTCCATAGTCTAAACTTACAGGTTTTAGCAAAACCTTCACAAGAAAAGAATTGGAGCTTTAAAGCCTAATGCACTCACACCCTGAAAACAGGGGGGAAGGGAGACTGCTGGCAACACAAAGGCAGCCCCCTTCACCTCCCTCAGTGAACCCTGGCAAGCCGTGCTAGCCCTGACATCATGATGAGAGTGTCCTCAACCTCAGGGGAGTGAGGCCAGCGGCTCCTGACGCATCAGAATCCTCATTTGGGAGCATTCTTGCGCACTCACACACACCAACACACTGCCCTTAGGACTCAGGAGTTAAACCCAGACACGAGTGCCAAGGATGTCACACCTCAAAGCCATTAGCTTGGGACACCTGGCTTACAGAACGTGTCTTTCCTTAAGGTAGGAGACCATTGTTCCTGCTAAGCTATCTTCTCTTCCCTCCAAAAACAGAAGCTGTCACCTCGGATAGCAGAGTCGGGCTAAGCAGGAAGGACTCACTACCTGGGCAAACGCCAAGAGGACTCTTTTGAGGTTGGTCAGCATGGCCCAGGAGTAGCTCTGAGATTCAGAAGCAAAGGGAACGCAAGTGAAAGAAAAATCAGAATTTGTGGCACTCAGTGAGCGACAGGCACACCACGGCTGCCACGTCAGCAAAATGAAACCGGATGAGAACAGGCGGGAAACGCGAGCATCTTCCAGTAAAGCTCTCTCTTTGCTGCCTTTGTTACACTGCTCTGGCCCTGGGATGTGTGTCAGAGCCTTGGAGCAAGCCCTTGAGCTGAGCTGTCCCCCGAGTTTCCAGAATTGCTCTTGTCCACACCAGAAGCCAGAATGGGACAGGCAGGTAGGTGTGTGTGTGTGTGTGTGTGTGTGTGTGTCCAGTTGTCCTGAATTGGTCACCTTTCTGACACCGGAACTGAGCCTTTGGTAAGGAAGCCACTCAAAGGTCTTTTGTTGCATAAACTTCAAGGAAGCAGCCGGATTCTCCCAGTCACCTCTATCAAACCTGACTTGGGCTTCCAGAGCTGAGTCATCCGCTCACTGACTTTCCACTGCGGGTCTCACTCCTGGGATCAGGTTCCACCTGTACCAATACTTTGTTGATGACAACAGTTTATCCTTGATGACAACAGTTTGCCCTTGAGAGCTGAGTGACAGGGGCAGCAGCTGATAGACAGCCTTCCAAACCAATTACAGGAGAGACCAAGAAAACTGATGCCCTACGAAAAGGCTCATGAAGGCCACGAGGCCAAGCGGGTATTCCAGTGGGCACCTTTGCCCGCAGATGTTCCTGGGGTTGCCCAGGGTGGGGTGATGGGTCAGTTCCAACAGCAGCAGAGGCGTTAAGTTCACGTTGTCACAAAAGGAATGTAGATCTGAACACTGAGGGTCGTCTGCACATATCCAAGCTGGCAAAGGAGAGCAGACTACATAGATCACTAAAGTAGACATGGAGCAATATCCACCATGATCCTTTCTAGTCCTCCAGTTCTCCGTGGGAAAGCTGGCTTTGACTGCCTTTTGAGAGAGGATAGACACAGCTTCTGCTGCATCAGAAGGCCCTACTGCTACATCCACACATCCCTGCCCTCCACAGCCCCCACGGCTGGACCCTTCTGTGAACTCATTCTATATTCCTTCCAGTGTCTTCCAGTACAGCTTTTCCTCATTCCTCAGGGCATCGCCCCATTCCTGTAATCTCTCTTCAATGGGCACGAGGGGAGCTCTGACCACTGATAACTGGTCTTGTCATAACCTTGCAAGCCTAAGAGAAAGGAAGAGTGTTAGGGTGGCTAGGAAACAACGTCTTAAGGACCACAGGACCGGGCTCTAGCTCCCCGCCACTGTGTGTGTGGTCTGTGGATGGTGTCTCCAGGGCTTTCTCCCCATCACCCAGCTCGTGTCTCCAGCTTGACGTGCTCTAGATAATTAATGCAGTGCTTGGCACACAGTCTGTTTCCTTCTGTACCTGGAGCGGCGATCATCAGTATTTTCATTAGTCACACATATTCAAGATTTCACGTCATTTCTCAAAGACACTTTTGTTTCTAGACTGTATGCCAGAAGGTCGTTATAGCCCCAGAGGAACACAGGAGTTGGTCCAGGTCGCCAGGTTCCAGTCTCTATTTTGTTTAAAGTTAGCTCGTCTTAAGTGCCCACAAGATGTTAGTTCTCTCTCTCTCTCTCTCTCTCTCTCTCTCTCTCTCTCTCTCTCTCTCTCTCTTTCCCCTCTCCTTTCCTCTCCTCTCCAAAATATAGAATCTCACTTTACAGGAAAGAACAATTCTTCAATTTCAGTGAAGTCAATCGTAGGGTAGTCTTGAGGTAATTAGTTTGTGCTTGAATAATCTAATCTTATAGGCATCGTTCTTTGATTTTGGCATGATGTTGGAACCTCTGTGGGAGCCATAGCTTCCCCCTGGGTGAGGAAAGTATTAGCTGGGTTCCCATCAGATGATGTCCAGTCTTTTCCTTATGTCGTGACTGAAGTTTTGTCTTCTACAAAACCTTTGGATCCTGACACACGGTGAAAAGGGGTCCTTTGCAAGACAGAGAAAGAGCACAGGAGAAAGGAGAGTTTGTGTGAACTGCCAAAATAGGTTCTTGTGATAAAAAAGACTGAACAGAGGCCTGCTAGATGACTCACACAGTCCAGGGGATCTCGTGGCTTTCTCCGTGCCTTCCAAGAATCCAGCTTTAGAGAAATTATACTGTGCCTTGCCCGCTTCAGCCCCCTTAAGCAACAGCCTAAGAGCAAGTGGTTAGAAAAGAGGGAAGAACAAGAACACAGCCCCTCTCTCCTCCTCCCTGGAGCCCTTTCCCATATACTGCTCTGCAATTCACGGAGCAACTGGGATGCATTCTTCAGTCATTCATCAAAAATGTGCTGAGAACCTACCTCACTTAGCCCTAGGGGACAAGCAGAGTCTCACTGCCAAAGAATGCAAAGATCCCCCTCCCTCCTACAGAGAAAGAAAGATTAAAAAGTCAGCATGAGCAGGTAAATAGGTGAATGCATGCCCTAGCAAAGGTGTTTAGACTGAACAGATCCAAGGGCACATCCTGTCTCGACCCCTCGCCAGCTGTGTGGCCCTGGGTAAACCACGAAAACCCCTCAGAGTAGAGGGAGTCTGTGGTGATTAAATGAGATTGCAGTTTCTTTGTTCTTTGTTGGTTGTTGCTGTTTGCTTGTGTGTGGTTTTAATTGTAGCATGCCTGGACATGAGAAGGAGCTCAGTGGGACTTGGTAGCAGACACCACCAGCAGAAAGGAGCCCTTACCTCCACCTGCAGCTGAACCAAGGCTGGCAGCGAGATGCTGCGAGTTCCTTTGCCTCCCCTTCCAACACACAGCAGAACACTTTTCCTCCTGCCCTCTGTTCCTACTAAGTGATAGAATTACCCATGGGCTGCAAGGGGCCTCGGAGCGCCTTATTTAGTCAGCTTTACTCACAAGAGGACCTCTTGACTGCCTCTTTCCATCCTGACCCCCCTCTTTCCTTTTCCCATTCCCTCTCCCACCCTCTCTCTCTCTGCTCTCTTCCTTCCCCCCTCTCTCATTTCTCAGGCTGACTTTCTTAGTAAACCACCACTTTTGAATTCCTTAAAACCAATGAGTCATGCACCCGTCCGAACTTGTGCACATTCCTGTCCCATACAGAACCCTTGCCTAATAAGTTTTTAGTTAATAATAAAACATCAGGCCAAGAGTAGAACTCAATTTAAACCCGCGCGTGCACGCACACACACACAGGAAGGTGTGCATAGAGAGCTTCCCCCCAAACACCCTTTACCCATGGTCTCTATACTTCATTTCACACACAACAGGGTGACGTGTAGTAAGTATCTGGCTCCCTCTCCAGAGCCCATCTGGAGGAAACAGGACAGACACTTGGGAAAAACTGAGTGACAGACATGGAAACACGGAGGCAAAAGGGCCATCAAGTTCAAGAGCATCTAGAGAATACAGAACTACCTGGACTTTTCATTTTAAATTATTTTTTTCTAAATATTTTCATGGTCATGCCTTGCCAAGTAGTATTGCTAGTTCTTAATGACCAGAAAGTATATTATTTTCGCTTTTTGTATGATGAGGTCTACAACACGACTACTCGTGTTGACAGTAGGTATGTTCATAAATACTTGCTGACTCACTGCCATGGTTCTGACTCAGGTCTTAAGGCTCGCACACAGACCGCTTTCCAGAACCCTTGACTCACTCCTCTACAAAGTCCTACAGGCCCTTGGGTGGCAATTTCTACAGGAAGTCAATGACTTCATCCCGAAAGCTTGTTCAATACGATGGGCACTATGCTGGAACCTTAGGAGTCATTACCACCCTGTGCTAAAACAGAGGTCAACAGCCTTGAGAAAGCGTCACCCTGGAAGGAAGAAGTCCTCAAGCCGCACAGTAAGTCCTGAGAGGAGACAGCGGCCTGGCTTTACCTGACGCCACACAAATTGAGCGGTCCTGCTCGATCAGCCAGAATAGGACTGAGGACAAGGTAGAGAGAGTTTACCTTACCTGGCATACACACCTCTATGGGTTCAGAGCCAACACACACACACAAACAGAAGAGACAGACAGACAGACAGACAGACACACACACACACACACACACACACACACACACACATCTTGCTTAAGAACCAGACAGAGATGGGAGGGGAGGAGAGAAGAGGTAGAGAGAGAACAGATTTCTACACATAACCCTCAACAGACACCTCACAAGGTCAGAACCAGATTATTTAGCCAGCCTAAACAGCTAAAGCCCTTTTCTCCATTCCCCAAGAATCAGGGCTAAATGAAGGTCAGATGTCTTCAGGTTCCCAAACACCCTCCCTGTAACGCTACCCCTGTGCACCACGAGATTTAAACAATTGAAGCCTGAGGTCATTGGTAGCTAGACTCATCCCACAGGGTTCAGTCCACTGCGTCCGGGGACACCTGCCACTCAGAAAGAAGGACATGGCACAGGAGCCTCCCTGATCACTCTCCAGCCCTGGCTCACCTCCACGAGAACTGCTGTGGCTAAGGAGCAACCAGCCAACTTCAACACCGGCCCAGCTCCCACAGCACACTGGCTCCGTGTTCCTCGGGATGGGACCTGGCTGGAACACAGGAATAACATCAGTCCCACAGCAGCACCAGGAAGGCAGTGTGTCCACAGTGTTGTTTCTGGAAGGGTGGGCAAGTCTGCGCCGGGGAACCTGAGGCCACACCAAACTGAAAGAGGCCCTTGTTGAAACAGAGCTGTTGCTTCAAGTTCCCACAACAATAGCCCGAAGCCCACTGCTTGCACCCACCCCCATCTCATCTGAACTCCTGAAACCCTACAACCACAGCCCTGAGAAACCTTGGAGGTGTGGTGACTCGGTCACTTGTGGACCAGGAATGAAGAAAACAAGACAGGCGATGTGAAGGGGTAGTGGGGTCTGCGGCCATGCAGAAACGGGACTGTGTGAGTTAGACAGGGATGAGAGGCTCTTCAGGGGCTGCTGCACAATTAATTCAGACAAAGCCAGAACAATGCTGACTGGGACATAAAATCCCAGCTAGACGATTCCAGCACTTGGGAGGTAGATGCAAGGACATTGCAATTAGGGGCTGGCTTGGGCTACGTAGTGAGTTCAAGGCTAGCCTTGATTAAGGTCTCAAAACTCAGCCTCAATAAGATAAACTCTAAAAGGGAAAGAATCTTTACTTTGCCTTTCTTAAACAAGAGACGGTTTGGAATTCCAATCAGCCATCTCTCCCAACCTAGAAAAGGTTTATCGGACCTCCCGAGTGCTGGGATTAAAGGCATGTACTCCCATGTCCAGTGCCTAGAACAATCCTTAATGTTTTCTTTTTTGCTCTGTTTTTTGATATCTGATTAGAGCTTTGATCACTTTTGTTTATTTGTTTGTTTGTTTTTATGTGCACCAGCATAAGGACGTCAGATCCCTTGAAACTGGGTTTACAGACAATTGTGAGCTTCCATGTGGGTACTGAGAATTGAACCCAGGTCCTTTGGAAGAGTAATCAGTGCTGAGCCAACTCTCCAGGCCCCTGGTCACTTTTTTTTTTTTAACCACTGTATTTTTAGATAACTCATCCACAACCGTTAAAGCCTGAGCCACCAACAACCCTGAGCCTAGAGCAGAGGTCTCCAAAGGAATATGCCCTTGATCATAGCTTCTTAAGCTGTGGGCTGCAACTCCACCTGAGGTCATAGAAGAGAATGCAGAGGTCACAACCGAAAAATGTTTCCGAGGGCACAGCAATGAGAATGAATTCACAACCAAACGTATAATGAACCTCAGGTATTTCCAGCAGCAGGAACCCATGATGCTGCAGACAAATTCACTCAGCTTTGGTTCTGAAAACACAACACAGACACTTTGCACTGTGCCGCCATCCCGCCATGCAAGGCCAGTCAACACTGCCTGAAACCCCTCAGCTCAGAATGGAGATAAGTATACGCTTTGAGTTGCAAATGTTCTGATCCCAGTAGCGACCCACGGTTTATGGGAAACAACAATTGATGGGTAATTTTGTTATCTGAAATTTCATACATATATATATTTTACTATCTCACACCTCTTCTCTCTTTCATCCCTATCAACACTTCCTGTCTCAACCAATTTCTTTCCCAGAGTCACGACTTTGGGTTTTGTTAGGTGGCGATTTTAGTTTAGCCAGGGACATCTATGTGCACAGATTAGAACTATTAAAACCTATAGGGTCATTAGTAGGTTCACGGCTGAAGGCACTTTCTTCTTCTTCTCCCTTTGTCTCTCAGTTGTAAATGGTTCAGCAACGACAGGTAAGGCCTCCTGCATCCCTCTTCCGTTCACTTCTGACTATTCACAAGCCGTTCCTCTGCAGACCCAGTGCAGGCAACCCCAGTTTCTCTGAGTTGGAGATTGCAAAGGTTATGCCTTGCCCATGAAGCTGCACTGGCTGGACGTATGCCCCCAGACATGTCAGTGAAGAGGGAATCTCAGATGAGAAACCACATCTATCAGAATGTCATGTGGGTAAGTTTGGGAGTTGTTTTCTTCATTCAATTGATGTGGGAGGACCCATATCACTGTGGGCAGTGCCACTTCTGGGCATGTTGTCTGGACTGTATAAGAAAGCAAACTGCTGAGCAAGCATGGAAAACAAGCCAGTAAGCAGGGTACCTCCATAGCCTCTGTGACTGTCCCTGCACAGTGAACTAACCCTCTCCACCCCAAGGTGCTTTCAATCATTGTTTAACAGGGCAATAGAAATCAAACTAAGACAACAGCCTTTCTCCTTGTTTTCCAGCTGTTGCATTCTTCCTATTCTCTTCTGCCATCATGCATTCTCAGCACCTGTGTAGCCAGGTTGCATTCTTCCTGTCTTCTCTTCTGCAGTGTTCCCTGAGCCTTGCAGAGGATGATATAAATGCTCAGCCATCATGCATTCTCAGCACCTGTGTAGCCAGGTTGCATTCTTCCTGTCTTCTCTTCTGCAGTGTTCCCTGAGCCTTGCAGAGGATGATATAAATGCTCAGCCATCATGCATTCTCAGCACCTGTGTAGCCAGGAATCTCCACATTCACCACCATACGCTGGAAAGACAAGCCTCTCGGATTCAGAGAGAGAGTAGTGTCTATTTGAGATTGGCTATGTAGAAGGCAGCTTGATGCTGTGTTAATCTAACAAAGTAGCAGTACTCAGTAGCAGTACCCTAGGGCTTACCACCTTCCCCACCGTGTTTTTCTTTTGAAAACAAGGTTCAAGTACCAGGAATATACTTTCTCCTATAGGCTGGGTCTGACTCAAAACAGAGAGCAAGCAGTTGGTCACTCTATTACCACAGTGTCATTACTGCACATCTTACTGGTCAAGTTGGTATCGTAGATCATAAAATTCATAGCTGGATATGACCACTGATGCTCCCCCGACCCTAGCAGCCTGGGACTAATAGAGCTGCCAGGAAGGAGGAAGCCTCCATCTCAGTTCTAACTTGGGGAAACAAAGAATTTTATTATTTTCTTATCATAATTCCTCAGCATGTGAGTATCAAATTAGTATTCCTTTGGATTGTATTATATTAGAATGTTTGATTTCAAAACTTGCTGTCTGAGCTGCTGACTTAAGCTTCATTTTACAAAAACATTAAATGAATTTTGGCTTGGAATTAGGGTAAAACTTCCAATGGCCTCAAACACATGTCTCCATTTTGGACTATGTATTTATGCATAGTGGCATTCTCTGCATTTGACAATTAAATCAAAATATCAATCAACTCTAAGAATACTGAAGATGCCCTACATCTCACAGTATCAAACATTCACCCAAGATTGATTCCTTATGTAAGAATAAATACTTACATCTTATTAGCAGGCAAATTTATTTTAATCTTTAATACATTGTAAAATTCTGTATATTCAAAATAAATATTTTCAAATAAATTTCTTTATAATTTCTCTGCATGATTAAATGTTTGACTGACATATTATTTTATATACCTATATACCTTAGGTCATGTAAAAATATCTCAAGCAAAGAAGTATAAGCAGAGACTGCTCGTTTGTTTCCCAGCTTCCCAGACCTGAATAATCACACTGAAACTATATTAATTATGCCACTGCTTGTCCAGTGACTCAAGCATATTCCTAGATAGCTCTTACATCTTGGATTAACCCATTTCTATTCATCTGTGTATCGCCACAAGGCTGTAGCCTGCTGGTAAAAGGTTCTGGGCATCTTTCTCCTTCTGCAGCTACATTGCATCTCTTTGACTCTGCCTACTCTCTATCTCTTCCAGTTTGTCTGTGATCTGCTAAGCCATTGGCTGGAACAGCTTTATTCATCAGCCAATAAAGGCAACACATATACAGAAGGACCTCCCACATCAAAGAAGGTGCAAATGGAGAGACATTTAACGAGCTCTGAGTGCTCCACAGTGGGTCAACAGTTAGATTTCTACATATCCTAATCTTCAATAAAACTAAAAATCAAGTAACAAGAAAGCATAAGCGTAATCATAGGGACTACATACAGACATGACTAGATGGAACGGCTCCTGCCCCGTCTCTCCTGCACCCACACATCTTCCTTAAAGATAGAATGGGGGTTCCACCAGTACTCATGCTTCCCTCTCGGTAGAGCAGAGTGAATTTCAGGCTACCAACTAGGCAGCGGTTCTCAAGCTGTGGGTAGTGACCCCTTGGTGAAAGATTCTCTCACAGGGCCTGCATATGAGGTATTCTGTATATCAACTATTTACACTATGCTCCATAACAGTAGCAAGATTACAGTTATGAAGCAGAAAAGAAATAATCTCATGGTTGGGGGTCAGCACAACATGAGGAACCGTATTAAAGGGTCACAGCATTAGGAAGGCTGAGAACCGCTGAGCAAGAAGATTCCACAAGTGGTTCATTTCATATAATTCAGAGCTTCAGAAAGTAGATTCTTCTAATGTAGATTAAAAAGTTTATACCTCATACTAGTGAACCAGTTATGTGAGGTCGAAAGACAAAAGAACAGTCACATTGAGAGGTGACTGTCACCTTCTCTCTCTTAGGGATACGGTGCGATGGCCTCTCACCGGCAAATATCCTCATACGAACAACTATGCCTACTATGTCTCTTTTAGGTAAAGATGACATTTCAATAGTGAACAGGAAAGCAGCTACCTCTCTAAATAAAACTCTAGTTTTGAAAATGGGTATGGTTGGCAGCTTCTGCAACAGTCTCACCGGATCTCACCAGTCTGCTTGGTTACCACGCATTTTGGATAAGCCCGTCACCTTAAGTGTGAGCCACAGGCAGTGACTCTAACAAAGAGAACATGGATTAAGTACCTGACCATGGCATCCATTCTTTTCGCCCTCTTTCTTTACAGAGAAGCTGAGTAGACACTAAGTCCGTGAAAACCTGAAGCCTGACAGCAACCGTGAGAGCGAACTTGGAAGCAGGTTGTCCCCTAATCTGGCTGGAGGCCTGGCATCACCCCAACTGCAACCTAAGAGAGGCTCTGAGGCAAAAGAGCACAGCCGAGTCTCTCCTGGAATCCTGACCCTCAGAAACTATAGGCAATAAGCATTTTCTGTTTCGAGACACTGGGGCAGAAGTGATTCCTTACTCTG